ATTTGAAGTTCAGTTCAAAGCCAAAATTTTGCAGATTCTCTGTAGTACTTAATGATAAATATCTACATATAAAATTTACGAGCTAAGTGAGATAATTTATTCTTAAATAACTAGTTTTAGATTATTAATACAAAGATTGAACATTCAGAAAAAATATTCCTTCAATCCGGCCGGGGATCGAACCGCCGTCCTCTAGCATACCGTGCCAGACGCTATACCAACTAAGCCACGTAAAGTAAGCTGTAAAGGTATCTAACTGGGTGACGGTAGATTTCTCATAGATGGCGCTACGGCTAAAAAGTCGTTGAAAAATCAAATATAAAGATACGACGCAAGCACATAGAAAAATTCGTGAGGTCATAAAATAATTGAATATCAATTCAATAAAAATTTAAACTAGTTTTAGATTTTTATTCTAGCCTGTTTTCGGGATATTATAGGTTCGGGTAGAGTACATCCTATCGCATAACGAATTAGCACATTTTTTAGACAATATCCTTAGGTGTATCCATTGACTTACAATTATAGGTGTATCCTATATTTTTTATAAGACCGTTATTTAGTAAATACATAAATCATTTGATCCAGCAAAACTGTTTTTCCTCCTCCTCCTCCTTAATATTTTTTTCATTCCATCGTGTAATAGTTGACGTCCTTGTACGGCATCAATCTAAATAAACCTTAACAAATCCGACAGTTTCTCGACCAATACTTACCATATTTTTTAAGTTAACGCTAAAACGTCGTAACGTTATGCAGTGACCATTTAAAGTGACTGTGAGAATGACTCGTTATAAGTGTTCTAATGGAATAAATAACATGGGAATTTTCCTCCACATATGAATGCATTATGATAATTAAATAGGAGCTACTTCCTACCTACTGTTTATGGCTTAATAATAAAAAATCTAACATTGTCGGCGTATTTCATAACGTTCTATAGCGCTACAAGAATTGTTGGAAAAAATATTTTATTACACTAAAAAGTCTCAATAAAATTAAAAATTCTTGAATTGTTTTTATATGGCAAAGGAAGTATCTAAGTTTTATTATTTTATTGCACAAAAAACGTGTAATAAAATTTTGTAAGGAATCGGATTTATAACCAGTACTTTGTTTAAATAATAATAATTGCCTGTTAATTACACACATTACCTGGTCTCAAATTAGGGTATTCTATTATAACGGTCTAGCGATCCCTCGAACCTACAAGAAGTCCACCTCAGCTTAAAAAGGAGAGCATAAGACCTCCACGAGACAGTCCACAAGAGTGGATCCCATTTAGGCAGGTCATATCCACAATTTTGACTTTCAATAAACGGAATGATCCACCTTATAGAAATAGTACTATCTTATAACAGATATTATACATAGAAATTGCCCGCGAAGTAAAAATTTCGACATAAATAAGATATGAAGCTATATTCGGTCCGGATAAATGTATAAAACCTAATACGTGTTATTTTTTTAAACTTTCTCCCTCTGAAGGTTAAACTTATCAACTGTATCAGCTGTTAAAAACATATTTAAAGTTTGTCAACATTAGAAAGGCAGGGGGTCTACGCAAAATAGAAAAAAAATGCATGAGACATACAGTTTGGGTATGTCTGGTCTAAACTTTCTCCTTACAGGATAGCCTTGTCCATCAATAGGACGTATAATAAGGTTGGTGAAGGTGATAATGACTACACGGAACACTCAGACCAGAACCAATTTAGAAAAATGCGTTTCATAAATTGGTGCTACTGGACCACCTCATTAAGCACCCATAGTGCGTATAAATCTATTGATGATCTTGATGTGATTCATGACTGGTTTCTTAATGGACCCTAGCAGTCAGCGAGTGACAAATTTGGAGTAGATAGACTGTTTAGAACGGAAATATATCAATTATAGTCTGTCGTTTTTGAAGATGGAGTAAAATGACAGTACATTGCGCATAAGTGTTGCCCGCTTGTGAGCAGCTAGTGATTGCAGCCGATGACTGTTGGTTCAGCTTATGAACAAATAGCCGAACTTGTTTCATCTGAATCATCATGACTCATTTGAATTGGTATTTTTTTTAAAATTCATAATAATACACTAAATTTAGCAGTATGTGTATAATAAATAGAAATAAGATACATAGAAAATGAAACTATTATTCTGGATTTAAATTAAACCGACGTTTCGGGCCCTTTACAGGTCCCATGGTCACGGTTGACTGACATGGTTTGTTTGAAAAAACAAACATAGGCGATTTTAATCCGGAAAAATAGTTTAGTAAGAAAAGTTTCATTTCCTATGTGTAATAATCGCGAAAACCTAAGAACTCGATAATAAGACACATATTTTAAAGTTTTTCATTTGAGTTTAATGTACACACGCCAGCACAACAAACTACACAGTAACGTATCTTGTTCCGTTGCACTGGAGGTGATTTTCGAACAAAAATGTGTAGTCTGGTGTGCCGTTGTCCGTACATAAATCCGCCTGTTGTTATTAAAATGTGTACGACTATTAATTGATTTCGATACTAATAGACCACTGTCAAGATAAGAATAAAGAATACAATAATGCAATTAGTAACCTTTAGAAGGCATCGTATCATTCAAAATTCAGACATTTTTGGCAAAATTTTACTTAATTTCACAATCTATTAAAATTGTCGATATCAACTACATGACTATTTAAAATTTTACAAAAACTGGCAACCCTGTAAATGTCATTTTACTCCATCTTCAAAATAGGCAGACTATGCACGCACGTACAGCCCAGGAATAGAATTCCCTGCCTGCGACTGTGTGCCCATGTGTGTTTAAGATGCGACTAAAAAGGCATCTCCTGGACGAGCTAGTTCCATCGTAGACCCTATCTTTACTCCAAGACTAGGTCGTGGTCAAGAGCAAGTCCATTTACTTAAATAAAACTCTGCTTCATATGAACACGTGCCTATAGGTGTAACATAGTCAAAAACAATATTCTTCTCGTCTTATAAACTAGTCACGTAGGACGGTTATTCACCTTGTGGTTACCTAATTTACTAACAGTTTCTAAATGCCTATCTAGACTACAAGGAATCAATAGACAAAGGCCATCAACCTACTTTTTTAGCATTTAAAGCGGAGAGGGGTTTTGTCAATGATATTATACTGGTTTTATAGTTTAAGAACGTGGACGGATACATCAAAATAAAAAGTTGCGGGGACAGGTTGAATGCAGTCGAGCTAGTGTTGCGCAAATTCGATTCTAACAATATTTATATTTTATACTTACATATTACGTAGACATATTTTCAATGTTTTATTGGAAGTCTTCCTTTTGAACAAAGTTGAAGTTATTTTGTGTCGAGGATAATATTTCCGGTCATAATTTCACTATTTACATACTTCGTTCACGACCTAACGCCGCGTGAATATGCGGAAAATACCGTGTAAATGTGCGGTTAGGAATAAATTGATGTCCTAGAACATAAATTCAACCGCTTAAGAAACGTCTGCAACAGAAATAGGAGCCCTGAAGTTTGTTTTCAGTTTATTTAGAGTAACTGTCCTACAAATCAGAGGCTCCTCTAAGAGAGGGCTGAAGATTTGACACGTTTTCGATATTCCTTTTTAAAGTGAGACTGAATAGGTCTTATTTAGGTGTGCATGCTACATAGTCGACCTCAACGTCACTTTCCATCAGGTGAGATGAGGTCAAATGGGGTAATTATTTTTTAACCGACTTTAATAAACGGAGGAGGTCCTCAATTCGAATGTTTTTTTTCTGTATTGTTATGTTACGCGGTAATTTATAGTTTGGCTTTGTTGAGTGTGTGCGTTATTATATATTTTTGATACGTAACGGTTAAAGGACGATAGGGAATCCCCAGTACAAATATATGTACATAGTTAAAACGGAGTCCAAAACCCAAATAAATGTAATGATTGAGCTTCTAAATAAAACATTTTTTTTATTGCCTACAGAGATGCAATACTCAAACACGTTACGCACTCTGAGCCAGTGTCGACAACTTCTGGCTTTTGTTATGGGAACCTTGTGTCGCCACAGGCGAAACTCGCCAGAAGGCTGGCAGCTGTTTCCGCCAAAGAACGGTACCAGTCCCCTGAGCATTATGGCCTAGGGCATGACCGCCATGAAATATTATAAATACCTTAAAATTTCTTTTTTCTTTAACTTTTTTTACTACTATTTATAATTGTACTGTTTCTTTAATTATTTTCCCATTTATAAAACTAGTGCATTACGATTTCAATTTCTACTATTATTAGTTTTAAGGCACACAATCGTAGCCCCGCATTAGGAAAACTCTGCATCGCGGGTGCCATGGATGCACACATAGATCACCACAAATTACACCCAAACGCACGGGAGAAATAAATGTAGGCCATACAAATATTTCTCCCGACCCGGTAATCCAACCCGGGACCTCTGCGTCCAGGATGGTATCCTTTCGACCACGGAGGCAGTTAAAAGTTAATTATTGACGCAGCACATAGCGAGAAACACTAAAACCGGTTGCTAGAGTTACGAACGGCAAGTAGTTCGAGTATAGTCCGATGCACGATGAAATTTGTACCTACGTGTATACGCTCTGTCAAGTAATTGAAAGTGTTTATAAGTACAACTTACTAGTTACATATAAATGGGCAAGTTAAAGGTAGAATTCGTCGAATATCATTAAAAAAATAAAGCACAGGACCTACTGTTATTCCAAACCGACATTCTAAATTCTTAAGAATAGGTGTGGCGGCTCAGAGGCCTTATGATTCATATCAAATGAATTATATGACTCACGTTGAGGACTTCAGCTGTCTATTTACGAACGAAAAAGTATCTGAACTTAAAGTGTTTTTACCGCATTGTCACGTACGCACTTTCTATAGTGCTACTATTTTACGAAGTGTTATCAAGTAGGCCATTATGTACATCGTGATGTTAAAAAAAGATATGTTATTATTACACCTTATACATTTACGCTAAATTACATGTTCATGGAGCTTAGAATTAGTAATTACCTGTGCATGGGCTGTGTCCGTTGTGTGTACTGCGCCATGTCGTCTCTCGCGCAGCTGGCATGGCTAGCGCGCGCGCATGCCGGGCCCGGCGCCGCTAGCTCCGCGAGCCCATCAATACACTCACTACACCACGCAATTCACACTCACTACGCGAGCACACTGCACCGACAACCTGTAACAAACATACTAGATATATTTTGCTCTATGTTTTTGAATTTGATTGACAACGAGACTTGGTACCTATGATACATGATGGGAGAAAATGAACGATTTAACAGTGGCGAGACGTTCCTGTTCCCACCTGGCGGTTTGCCTAAAATTTTCCGCGTATTATCAAAAGACTGTTACACACTACCACTTAAAAAAAGTTATATCCAAAATATTCAAAACGCGTAGTCACCTGTCTTTGATACCGGCCAATCGCAGCGCGCGGACCACCGAGCAAGCTGGTCGAATCCCGGCTTTCATTCATGAAACCTACGAGCTCATGTCAAAACACATACACACATTCGCAAAAGTCTGCTTTAAAACCATAGTAAAATAAGAGATGTGCTACGTATTTATAATACTTCGGATTGAATGAAGGAGGAGGTTTTTAATTCGATTCTATTTTTTTTTTTGTGTATATGGTTACGCAATTACTCTAACATTTGTTTTTTTTTTATAACATTAAGTGACGGGACGTACAAGTCGCGCTCCTGATGGTAAGCTACACGCCTACCCATAACAGTTGCAGTGCCACTCAGAGCTTTAAATCGCAAAGATCTGAAGGGCACTGCCACTGCGCCTGTCATCCTTAGACATAAGTTGACAAGTCCCAAGTGCCTGTAATTTCATTAGCGGCAGAAATAGGCAAGGTGGCAGTACTTCCCTGAACGAACTCATTCGCAAGGAGCTCTACTGCTACAAGTTATTATACATGTGAACTGATTGCAATGATTGTGTTGTTGAGGTTAAGGGGGTACCTCAGTAGTAGACCCATTCAAATTTGAAGAAGATATTCCACCTTTAAGAGTGGCAAATTATGGATTAAATTTCACCCAGTTTGTGTTAATCGATTCCAATAAAACTTGGCTCATAGATGTAATTCCAATGAAAGTAAAATGTTACGATGACCAAGAGTTGATCTGGCAATGAAAAAGGCAGACAGATGAGAGGAATTCCTCAATGGTGTAACACAGCTTCCTCGTGTTTGGGTTCATATTAACTTCAACTGCCTCCGTGGCCGAACGGTTAACATACCGGACTGCCACGCAGAGGTCCCCGGGTTCGATTCCCGGGCCGGGAGAAATATTTGTATGGCCTACATTTATTTCTCTCGTGAGTTTGGGTGTAATTTGTGGTTGTCTATGTGTGTGTCCATGGCACCCGCGACACAGGGTTTCCCTAGTGCGGGGCTATGTTGAGTGTGTGCGTTATTATTATTAAAAAAAAAAATTAACGTTTTGACGAGGACTTTCCTAATATGTTATGCGCTGCACTATCGTTGAGGAGACCACACACAGTAACGAATACAGCGAAAGCAGAACTAACTTTTGAGTCGGTTTTTTTTTAATTAAAAAGTTATGATTATATTAGGTGAAGGAAAATATCGTGAGGAAACCTACACGCATCTGCCAATCAATTTAATGATCTGTGTGAAGTTTCTAAATCAACAAAAAAAACATAAATAGTGGGAACCTCTTGGTTATGCGGGGAGAGCCCTATACCTAACCGCGGATCAGCACGTTTGCACGTACTTACTCGTACAGCACCCTCCCTATTTTCCAGATAGGTACCGAAGCTGCAGGTACGCTCACTTCCCGTCACGCGACTAACGGTTGCCACCGCTGAGCCACCGGCTCTAAGCCGACTACCAAATCTCCTCATTGATGGCGGAGCTGTAAGACATACTCACTTCCCGAAGCCGAATGAACGGCGTCTCTCCAATTCCCAGATTCCTACGCGGCCGGCCTGTGCCCAGCAGTGGGACTATAGGCTCATTATTGCCATGTCCTGGTTACGTATACAATACTGATCGTGTAACGTGAATCACGGATAGATTGCCGTATTTCAGTATGAGAGAAAAAAAGACGAGAAATAACGACTTCCACTACTGGACACAGGCGTCCCCCAAATATCGCAATAAGAACCGGATGGCCCATAGAATAACGTTTAACCCCAATACAAAAGATCCTGAATCAAAAGGAAATTTGTACGAAGAACCAATCGTGTGTACGTTTAACAATGGAAATATGGTCGTACATTTCTGTTACCCTACTTACATGGACGTACTTGTCTGGAAACCGGGTCAGGGTAACCAGAAGAGAAGCGGCAGTGTCTCCCAGTATATTATTATTACATTGCAGCTACACTGTGATCGCCAATCCGCCAGTAGAAGTTATTGACAAAAGAGAGGTTGGAAGCTATATACAGGGTGGAAATTTGAGACGGGTCAGCAAGGGCGGCTACCTTAACCGTGATAGCCACAGGAAAACGGTCCTAGAAAACAGTCCATGATTATGAACATATTTCGATTGGCATTCACAGATTTTTTTAAAATAGTACAGTCAACAAGGCAAAAGGCAATTTTTACGTAACATTTATTATTAAATTGTACGCCTGGTCGTACGCCTATCTACAATATTTAAAGTACTTGCCATCCGTGTCGCATTGCCGTGGGCCACTCTGTATATCTCATCAAAAGTGTGTAGGTATGAAACACGTTTTTGCCAATTACTAAAAATCAGGTCTTTTAATTCTTTCTTTCTTTTTCAATATCAAAGCTGTTTTGATCAATTTCATACTTAAAAAAATAAATAATGTAATCAAATGATGTATACATATTTTAATTTCATTTTAATTCCGTAATCAAATATTTAAAAAGAAGTACCTTGAACCCTAGACATTTTTGATGTGCATTAATCACGTTCAGTATATTATTTATTTTATTAAATTATTTGCAAATATTTAAAAAATATTCTTGACAGTATACCTAATAAAAAATATATCTGATTAGATATATGAATTAGGCTACGCGATTGAAGATATTTATAAACACGTGATTATATACCCTGTATAACTAATAAGCATGACACACAATTTATTGTACAAAGATTGGTCACACGTTCCAGCCAATCAAAATGAAACGTTGCATGTTCAGTTCATAACTATACATGGTATATATGATATTTGTTTTGTGTACGCCGTTTCAGATATCCAGCTGTGAAACTGGAGACTTTCTACCATTTCTCTTTTGGCCGTATCTTTGCGAATGCCGATGTGGAAAAGTTTATATCGTATTAACCGATACGCAGTTCAGGCTGTCTGTATGAAATTGCTGTTCATAACATGCCTTGCACTTCTCCAGTTTCATATATCTCAGAACTAACGGGATAATTCGGATGAAATTGTACGGGCGGTATTGCCCTCAATGGTGACAAATTACAGGTTATTTTGAGCAATTTTCAGGTTAGTTTCCTATACCTTATTTCGGTTTTATTCGAGTATATTATATATATTATCCTGAAATATTAAATAATATTTCAGGATACTATATTCGAATATTAAATAATACTTCATAATAATACTGTAAAACATTTAAATAATAAAAATTACCACCGAAATTAGATATAGAAAATTGCCCAGTTGTCACAATCGATAAGTCCCGTGTAATAAAAGTCGTATTGTGGCCCAATCCACCGCTGGGCACGGATCTTTTCTAAGGTCTGTTGGGGACTTTATACGAGATGTATGTTGAAAAACTAAACGTCACATTATTTTTCTTCACCGTTAGACTAAATAATTAATGGTAAATATACTCTGTTCCAGCCAATTTTCATTACCCCGTGTGATCTCAATGTCTCCTTGTTGGTTCTTAAGAAACTACTATTAATAAAATATGATAGCAAGGCAACACAAACACCCTATATTTCTTTATTATCGTCTCCCAAGTGTGGTCACAACATCGAGTATAAAACTAAAAATAGAGATAAAATAAGGACCATCCATTCCTGGTAATTCATCAGGCAAATGAGCCTTATATCACTTTTAAATGTCAACTCTCGTTTGCACTGAAATCACAAATTAGAAAGCTGAAATAGTACAGCGTCAACAACTGACCTGTGTGTACGTCTTCGTATATTCCAAAAATATTCTGTATTTATTGTAATAAAGATAATATCTCTAACTATAGGGGGCAGTTCCATTTGGTGGTGCGAAAAAAACAGCAAAACATCTAATTACAAAACAAACGGAATCACATTTCATCAGTAATTATATACGTAATTTTTCAATATTCGTCCATTATAGCAAAGCTCAAGTTAAACTGGTCGATTTGAAGTGAAACAATTGACGACACCCGTCAATTGTTTCGAATTCGGGCTGGCCAATCGGAGGGCAGTTGTCATAGTAATGATTTGGCAGAATAGTGTTCAAACAAATTAAATGACATTTCGTCTCTATTTCTGGTTATATACTCGATGGGTCACAACGACGAACATTTGACCAGGAACGCAGTTTTAGTAGCAGTAGACTTCCTTGTGAAAGAGTTCGTCGTAAGTACTGCCCATCTTACCTATTTCTGCCGTCGAGCAGTAATGTATAAATATATAACGAACACACTCATAGCGCCGCACTAGGGACCGGTATCGAGGATGCCATGGACACACAAGTAGTAACCATTAGCAATACTGCGTTCCGGTTTTGAAGAGTAAGGGTCTTGGTGAAATTCGAGGCACATGGGACTTGTCAACTTATGTCTCAGGGTGACGGGCGCAGTGGCAGTGCCACTCAGATCTTTGCAATTTAAAGCTCTGATTGGCACTGCAATTGTTACGTACAGGCGCGTCGCTTACCACCAGGCGCACGGCTTGTCCGTCCCGCTACTTGGTATTATAAAAAAACAAACTCTCGAGAGAAATAAATGTGGACCATACAAATATTTCTCCCGGCCCAGGCATAGAACCCGGGACCTCAGCGTGGCAAACCAACATTTTTTGTTAAATGGGAACATTACTGCGTTCCGGTTTTGAAGGTTAAGGGAAATTACTGGCACATGGGATTTTTCAACTTGTATGGCGATGAACGCAGTGGCAGTGTCACTCAAATCGTTGCGATTTAAAACTCTGATGTCCACTTGCACTAAACTTAAGTATGTCTTAAACCAATGCTTAAATTGATAAGACACTCTTA